TCCCTCAGTGCCACATCTCCAGGGCTCTGGAACACCTCCAGGGATGCTGACCCCCCCACACTCCCTGAGCAGCTCTGCCACTGCATCACCATAGCCTTGGTTTGGCTTGTTGGCTTGTGACGTGATAAAATGCCAACCTAAATGCCTTACTTCTCTCTGCCTGCTATTAAAACTGTTGTTCCTCAAGCATTTGCCATCTCTAACTTTTTTTTTAAAGTAGCTGGAATTCCTTCACCGTAAATTTTGTTGGATTTTGTGTGTGCTGGCATGAATACTGGAGTGCCCAACCACTTCTCTGTGCTGGGTTTGTAGCTACCTGGCTGCTACCAGTGCTGACTTCTGTAAGTATTAAATACCGTTTTTCTTGAAGTCCTTTAAAGAAAAAATCCAAATTTGCAAATGAGATTCTAAATAAATATTCCCAGTCTTTAAATAACCCTATCTCCTTCCATGATAGGTTTCCCTGGGCCAGGTCTTTCAGCTGTTCATGCTATACTAGTGGATTTAAACCTTCTGTCCTTTGGTGGAAAGTGAGATGCTTTAACCACAACCCCCTTTGGCTCTTCTGGGGAAGATTTGGTTCATGTTGCACAATGAAGCATTTCATATTGGGTGCATTTTGATGCTGTGAAATTTCGGCTAATACCACAAAAGAGTTAACTGATTTTTGCAGGTTCCAATCTAAGTTCATCCAGTGTCAGGATTTTTGTCCCCATAGACAAGGTCATAATCTCATATCTGAAAGCAAATATATAAAATGCATTTTAGTGATCCCATGGAGTCGTTTCCCAGGCAACTTAACATCTCCATCTGCAGCGGGTTGTGGGCTTTGCCTGGCCTTGTGCTGGGGAGTTTGCCACCAGCCAGTGCTCCTGGCCAGGCTCTGTGCAGGGCAAAAATACAGAATGGTTTGGGTCGGTTTGGGAAATTTCCCCTTGAAGCTAAATTTACTTGTGGGCCTGATATCCTCCAGTATGGCTGCTTGGGTTGGAACGATGCACAGTGTGGTTGCAGGCTGTCGCATCACAGCAAATGGGTGATAGCTTCTGGGAACACTGTGCAATGTGTACCCCAACTCAGTGAGGATGGGTGATGCTGGCCCTGTCCAAGGAGAATTGCTGGTGGTGCGAGAGATGAGGATTCCTCTATGGCTGAAGTCAGAAACACAAGAATCAGAAGATCACCTTATACAGGGAAATAATCTTAGTAAATACATTTTCCTTTTGTGCTGCCTTCATTCTTGCAGAATGGGACTGACCTCAAAAGGATGTTGTTGGAGAGCATGAAGTGTGCATGAACAGTGTGTGCTCTTCTTCGAAACCCATCTCAACCCCTGTCAGTGGGTCTGTGGGAGAGGCTGTGGGTCAGAAAATAGCCCTGGGAAATTCAAAGCTCTCAGGCTCTGTGTTTCTCATCTCTGACTTTTGGAACAGAAATAGCCAGATTATGCCTTGTGAGATCTGCAGGGATTGTAAAGCAGTTTGGTGTGGCTTAAGATCACGGTGTGTAATTTTGTTAAAAACTCACATTTTGAGATGTGCACCAAGTAGGCACAGTAGTGCTGAACTGTGAATCATTCCAGATAAGGGAAATCTTTGGGTTGCACTCCTGGTTGTGTCTTTGATGTGCAGTTATCAGTATCCAAGCTAGGCTGGTATGCCTGCAGTATAGATGTGCCCTAAGGCCAGGAGCTTCAGCACTTTCAAAGAGCATGTGTTGAGAGCCTCTGCCCTTATATCAGAACCTTGCAAAGAGCTGAATCATGGCATTTTTAGCTCCTGTCCTGTTGGCTTAGATGATACTGATCTTATGAAATTTGGCAATGCAGAGAACGGTAGGGTTATTTGAGTTTCAAGGGATCTTTTACATGTATTGAAGTCCTGCTGTTCCTGCCATTATGGGAACTGTGTGAGCTTCTCTTTCTTTGTCACCTGTTTTTAATTTGTTGTACAAGTGTGGAGAACCTCAGTTCTCTTGAAGTGATGGAGAAGGGCAGGTCCAAGCTGAGCTCTGGAGCCCAGTGCTGGATCCCTGTGCTGATAGAAGTATCACCTCATCCCCTGACGCTGCCCTTCTTCCATGAACCCTGCTGAGATGGCATCTGTCCTATGATGGCAGCTGTCCTATCACACTCATGTTATTGTCCAGTGCTCAGGACCAGGTGAGTGATGCCCATGATCTCACCATGCTGTGTTAGCTCAGGTGCGCTCCTTCTTGTCGTGTAGTTGAGTCCTTAAGCTGCCCTTTGCTTTCTGCTCTTAAAAAGAGGCTTTAAGCCCCTTTGAAAGCTACACCCCACGTATCTTCACTCTTCATGGTTAGGACTCACTCAGTCTTTACAGAAAGTGCAATATTGAAAACTATCAGAGAATTTTTTCAGCGTACTTGTGTGATGGGAATTGGGCTTAAAAGCATGAACTAGAACTACTCAAATGAAAGAACTGGCTGTCAGCAGGCAGACTCTTTGGAAGGAAAAAAGTCATAGGGATTTTCTGTGGACTACCTGGTTGCTTCTGCGAGTCAACACAGCATCACGCTGAATTGATGGTCATATTAATGCAGCGTGTCTCCCACACTTTTTCTGAAGGGAGTATCTGGAGAATATCCAGATATGTCTTGTCCTCAGAGAGTAATAATCCTGATCTTTGTCATTTATGGCCCTTCCTATTTTCTGGAGAGCAAGGTTGTGTCTCCTCTCCAATTACTGGATTTTGTGTTTGCTCTTGATTAACTATTAGCAGTTGATTACTTCTAAAGTTAGCAGCCGTGGTGGGAGGAACACATGCCAAACAAATTTGAAGACCCTGATCTTAAAAGGAGAGGGGATGATAGGCTGAATAAAGGAGGCTGATGCAACTTTTCCAAGAGTTGTATCATGGGCTGAGACAGCCATCTGCAACAAGTTTTGAACAAGAAAACTGGAATTTCTTCTGCTTTTTGGCTTGTGATATCTTCAGATGAAGTCATTGATAAGAAGGAGAGAACACAAGGGAAAATCCTTGCACCACGTGCTTTTTGGTGGCTTATGCCCTGACAAAAGGCACGTCAGTGTGGGCACCAGCTGCAAGATAGCAGCACCAACTCTGTCCTACCTGAGAACCTTTATAGGCAATGGTTGTCACCAAGTATTGCTGCACACAGCAAGCAGTGAAGCTCCATCCCTTCATCCATGGAGTCAGAGGCACCCGGCATTTGGGGAGGCCCAAGCATCTGCCACTCACTGCCCTTCCCCTTCTTGAGCAAGGCAGAGCACAGTAGTTGGGTTTTATTTTCTTACCAAGAAATCTGAAAGCACCAGTATGCTGTCAGTGAAAAGCTGGGCTTTGTATTCTGTTTAGTAGGTCATTATGGAGAAGACCGTATCAAAAGGCTTTTGCAGAAAAGGAAAGTTCCTCAAAAGAGGCTGCAATATACGTGTTTATTTAAGTGGCACAGACAATAGAAGGAGAATAGTGATGAGCTAGAAGAGCATAAAGAACAGATGGGAAACACTCTGAATTTTGAAGAAAAGGTGTTTCTCGCGTCCTGCTGCTGTTCCAGATGTTGCCACTTATTCCCTAATGATATTTCAGGTCTTCTGTTGCAGTTTTGCCTGCTGCCCTTCTCACAAATGCCAGGAGCTGATCTGTGGAGCGGCTGAGATTTCTCCATCACAAATATTGCCTGTTCAGAAGGAAAAGTGCCACTCCTGAGTTTCTCATAATTGTGTGCCAAAATGGAGGTAAATTCCATACCTTCCCAATGAAAGGAGGACCAGGACTGTTTGTAGAAGAAATGAGACCTCTGACAGATGTTTCACATCCAGCTGACCCGCTTCCATCCCGAAGGTCACTCCAGAGTAAAATCTGCCCAGGTGTGAGCCGTTCAGCCCCTCCTGTCCTGGTGAGCATTCTGGCATCCTTTGGCTGTCTCACTGGAAGACAGCAACTGTAGACCTGCAGGTTTGTGCCCTGCTTTTTGTTTCCCAGCCACAATTGTTTGGGTTAACTCTGTCCAACTTTTGCTGTACATCACCCATTTCCATTCCTAAGTGACATACTGCTTATTTGAATAACATCTCAAGGACTTAGAGAACAGAAAAAGTGATTTTATGGAGCAATTCTTTAGACCAATTTGCTTGAGTCAAAACATACTTTTGATGTCTTAGATTAATACAAAAATCTGTCATGTTTTTCTTGTCTTTCTCAGCCTTACCAACTGGAGAACTTTGGGACAGAGTGCAATAAGATATATAAAAATTATGGCCTTTAAAGCCGCCTACCTATTTCTCTTTATTCAGTACTATTTATACTATTTATAGTCACTTTTCTTGTTTCCTTTAAAGTTTGATCTCGTTAAAGTTTGATCCCTTCTTCTTAAATCACATCAGAATTTCCTTTTCTCTCCGCTGCCAGAAAACATTGCCTTTTTCTGGTCTTTCTGGACCCATTTTTCATTCTTGCTTCCACTTCAACAACTATTCATACTTTCTTAGATCATCAAGATCTTTGTTGCATCCGAGCAGAAATGGGGCTTCAGCTTTGACAGGTGTCTTTTTAGCTCAGCACTGACATCTTTTCTTAGGCTGCAACTTCCTGCAGGATCTATTTGAGAAGTTTCCGAACGCATAAATTACGTTGGCACGCACAAAGAAGAACAGCAGAAATGTTAATTACTGCCACTTTCCAATTGCTGAGTCTCTCCTTAATGGGTTGAGCAAGTTTAGTCTGGTGTGCTTTTTTCTTTTCTTTTTTCCTCTTTTTTTTTTTTTCTCCAGATAAATTATCAAATGACTTTAACATTTGGCGATGGCGCGCTCGGAATAACGAGAGCTTGTTTTTCATGTCGTTGCTCTTCATGCAGATCCTTTTTCTGAAGGCACGCTAAGGGAGCTGACAAAAGATGCAATATGATTTATAAACCCAAAATACTTTCTGCCGTGCTTAAAGATGTTTTTGCCAAAAGCGCTGTTCTTGTCATTTCCCATAAAAAGCACGAAGGTGGTGGTGTCGGGAGATGGGATGGGGACGTTTGCGGATCACCCGCGAGGTGCCATGTGCTGCCATCCATGGGTGGTGACGTTTGGCTCAGGTTTCGCATCGCTGCACAATTTGATGTCATCGTCAGATCTGCCCTGTGCTGGGAAATGGGATCGTCAGCGCCGGGTAAGGAAACTCATGCTGTCTCTGCCCACATCATCTCTGTGTACTTCAACCAGGAAAAGGAATATAAATATAGATGATGATTTAGACTTTAAAATGCTGAGGATGGTGACGATGACGCAGCCGAGAGTTCCTGTCTGAGGTAGGATTGAAAATGTGACTTTAAAGCTAATTTCTACTTCTAGCACAAGAGATCAGGCAGCAGCTCCATCCCTTTAGCTGTGACAGTGGCTATGATGGCAAAGAAGTTCTCTGAAGTTGTGCAGCCGCCTGGACCTCAGGTGCCCATCACTGCTTGCCTGTAAATCCTCCACCAGGCTGGATGTGGCTCTGGGCAGCCTGGTCTGGTGGTCGGCAACCCAAACCATGGCAAGGGGGAGTTGAAAATAGATGATCTTTGAGGTCCTTTTCAACCCAGGCCGTTCTATGATTCTATGATCTCCTCTTGTAGTTCACCACCCCATGCCCTCTGCATACCTCCTCGCTGCTGAGCATCTGGCCACACAAAGCCAGCAGATCAAAACACTCTTGAGGAGTGGGAGACTGTGAAGCCTTTTTGATTTTTCTCCTCATAGATCAAACATGCGTGTCAGAAGGTGCACTGCTTACCTGCTGCTAACATGGGCTTAGTCACAGTGCAATTGCATGGACAATCATGTCTTAAAGAGGAGCCGTGAATCTTTTAAGCAGGGGTTGCAGTGCAATGGCTCAACGTGGAGCCTCTCCCTCTGCAGTTTGCTCCAGCAGAGATGGGGACTTGCCTCACAGGCCTCACCCCACAAAGCATCAGCATGGGACGTGTATGACCAGATTTAAAGGGGTTAGAAACACAGCAGGCAGCTGCCCAGATTATCCTGGGCTGTGGCAACCTTCTGTGCCTCTGTAGACAAAGTCTGCTCCAAGATGCAGGCAATGGCTTCAGTTGCATCCCCACAAGGGGCACAGCAATGGTGTGAGCCCAGCAATAACCAACGAAGGAACAAAACCCGCCTTCTGCACTCTGTTTTTCCTCCATCTCTGTGCCTTGCTGTGTTTTTCTGTTATCACAGATTCAGAAACATATTTGTAGTCTGTGAGTACCATTAATTTCCATTTTGCACTTTGCTATGATCTCAAAGTAAAGCACCCTGGCTCTTCAACTTTTTGATGCTCTTGAAAGCCAAGGAAGCTTTGAGCTTGGAGCACAATTTCCCAGCTGCATTCCTCAAACAAGGCTATACTATGGTTTCTCTGTGGCCATCCTAGAGGGGAATGAGAAGATTTGGCACCTTGCCCTGGTTCAGACTACTAACCTAATCTAGTCCTACAGTGTTTGGGGTTATATTAATGGGCCGTGTATGCTTTCACTTTTATTATTTTGATCCCTTAGCAGAGGCGTGAAGTGCCAGCTTAAACGCTTCAGATTTATTATTGTGATGGAGGAGAGAAATATCAGTTTCTTATAGGCCTATTAATCTCATTAATTGTATAAGCTCGATGGCTTTACCTGAAAGCTTTGCATTGTGTTTCATCTGTTTTTCGGAGAGAAGCAGAAGGAGAACAACCAGATGCAATGCACTATCCCGTTAATAGATCAACAGATGATTGTTGTTGGCCTTGCAGGAAGTAGAAGCTATTGCTGCTAATTTACACTCACCAAATGCAAATTTTAAGGATGCTGAAAATGTATTGTTTCTTAATGATTCATACGACCTATGATATCTATCGGTGAACCTTACCTAGGGACAAGGCTTCAGGCTGGGTGCTTTGCAGACAAAGTGGAAGATGGAAATGTCAATTGCCACTTGTTCTGTTAAACCTCATTCACTGAAACCTGAAGTGGGACTATCTTGAATGTATCTAAATTTCCAAGTATGCTTTATGCATGCAAATCACAGCTGTGGTGCATTTCGTTGCACCCAGAATACCTGGGGAAAAAAATAAACTCAAAGTTAGGTGCAAGTGTGAGACTTTTTTAGTGAAAAACCCAAACTTTACTTCCCTTTTCCCTATGAGAGAGTCAGATCCTAAGGACAGGAGTCGGTGTCCGGTGAACTTCCCTGGCTTTTAGGTAGAACTGGAAGCAGAAAACACTGTAAGGAATTTGGCTAAAAGAGTTTCTTTTTGTGAGCATTTCTCATATGGGCATGAATAAAGAAATGCTTACAAATCCTCAGGTTAACCATAGATTTCTTCCTCCTTCTCAGCTCAGATGTGATTGATTTGTTTTGCGAAGGAGATCTGCTGCCCTGTGAGCATCTTTCCCACCCTGTATGTGAAACACCCTTAATGAGCATATTTGATTGCTGTTTTTTGTTGTTTTTTTTTTTTTCTCCTTCCTTCAGCAGTTCACACAAGAACAGTCTTCCTCCACTGTCTGAAATCTCAGTAACCTGTAGCTGTGCCCCAGGAACCACAATGCAGCCTCCTTGGGAGCTGCTGGATTGCCCCACTTGGTTGTCCTTTTGGTACCTCCCCCTACTGAAGGAGCCTATGGACCTCATGTCCAAAGCTTGTCAGGTAGAAATGTGACCAAACCCACTGTTTTATGGATATGTGATAAGGGTGGGCATAGAGGGTACAAACTCAATAATGCACCAAAGATTACCCAGCGATACCTGAGGTACAGCTTCACACTGAACCTGCAAATCCTAAACATTAATCACAAGCTATTCTTGTTCCTCCTTGTCGTGACAGTGTTGTGAGAAGGCTGATTTTGTATTAAAATTGAGTTAGATCAATGCAGATACAATGAAAGTGGATGCTACACTTTGCTCTAACAGAATCCAAGCTTTTCTTTGCAGCAGGAACATGGGCTAATCCTCTTACTGGTTGGAATTGGAGGTCCTGTACGAGTTGCACTGAATGTTCAATTCAAATGAAAGGATTTTCTTGGTGAGTAAGTGAACACATACTGAATGTGCAAACAGTCAAATGTTCTCCGGGTGGTTTTGATAAATGGTTTGCTTACTGTGGTGTTTAAATCAAGCTAATTTCATCTTATGTCTCCGTAGTTCTGTTGGTCAGGAAGAGTCTTTAGGAGTACATTGAAGTACTTTTGAGCAATGGTGAACACCTTTTAAAAAAGTAGGAATTAGGGGATTATATCAAGCACTGGTATGATCAGTACTGCTATGTAAGTGATAATGAAAATAAATTTCAACACAACCTTCAATCAAATGATGATTTTTCCTATAAGTGTCAGAGGCTCTTCAGTATTTCTTCCGGCTTTATCTGTAGACTTTACTACTCTGTACTTCCTAGAATTAAATGCAACTACATCAGGAAACTGAGTGTTCGAGGTAAAGTTGCCATAATTTATAAAAGCTTTGGTCTCCCCAGAGGCTCTTGCAGAGTTCCCATCTGGAGCCCTCGTACATTGATTTTTCAGTGTATACACCAAAAGGAATGCAACATTGGAGGCCGCTGAGTCACTGGCTTGTGCCTCTCTACCACTGCATGAATGTCAAAAAAAGGTTTCTGGTGTTTTCATTCTAAGGGAAGAGAAAATAATTTAATTTTTTTCAGCGTTGCCTCAGTGGTGTGGTTTAACATTGAAGGAACTTGCAGAGCCCGTACTGCTTTAACAGCACTCTGTAGAACTGAACCAACAGGTGCTGCACCACCCTTAATTTTGTAGCAGTAAAAAACAATGCTCTTACACAATAAATAATGTTTTGATGTAAATCAGTGGAATTTATTCATACTACAGAAGACTTTATTGGATAAACTTGACATAAACTTGACATCTGTCTGAACAGAAGAAAATAGTGTCCTAAGAACTTCAGTAGTGTGAATAACATTTAAAATCTGCTAAAATGAAAAATTTAAAGCTAAGCATGTAGAAAAAGGAAAAGAAAGCTACATATTTTGTAACATTTCTTGCTAGGCATTGTATCTTCTTTGGTTATAACAAGTTCCTTTGAAGAATATTTCTACTTAAAATACACTTCTACGTATTTTCCCTGGCAGACAGGCTTTAAAGATCTAAATACGATGTATTGGAGGAGGTAAAAATTCTTGAAGTGTATTTTTGAAATCTTTAGACCTTTGACCACATTTGCTATGATGATACAGACTTAACAGTAAACCCACTTGAAAGACATTTCCATGGAACACTTTAAACGAAATCAATTGGTACTTTCATAATGGCAGCTGAATGTGCGTTCTTGCCATTTTCCCATTTAACAAGAAGAAAAGGCCAAACAAGAACCAATTAGTCACAATAAAATCAGCTTTGATGACATTTTCACTCCTGAACTCTGGTATAAAATGGTCATCTAAGAAAGAACTGAAAGGATATGTGAGGAACTTGGTGGTGTAACTGCATGTACATACATACACACTCCTGAGCAAAAAATGATCAGGTAAAGATGCAGCAATTTAATTGCTATTTGGAGAAGATATGCTGTTTTTGTGTTTAAACACACGCATAGAGCTTTGCTTGATTTTTGTTCCACATTTTAACTGGTCGTAATTTGTCTTTGAAGTCTATGCAGGTTAAACCTTCTTTACATCCTTTGGATCTCAGCGATGTTCGTGTGCTCGGGTTACCCAGTTGGCCCTTCCATGGTAAGTCATGCTCCCTGGCTACTGGAAGATCAGATGTTTCATTTATTTTGTATAGCTGTTGTTGTTGTTGGTTGGTTTGATTTTTTCATTAAATAAAAGGAACTTCTATTGAGGCTACTGAATAAATATTATCTAATAATACCCGGATAATATTATCTGGAACGGAGCTTGTTTGTGCTTTAGCTACACATAAAATCTGCAATCCTATAAGATTGTCGTGTAAGAAATCTGCTGCATATTGGATGTTGAGTGTGAAGAACTTTTGCCAGTGTTGAAATATCATACAGATGAGAGGGAATCATTAGTCTCCCCCCATTTCATTTCAGTTCCTCGTTGACGTCCAGTAGGTAGAATAACAGATGTGTGTTTATTTCATTTGTTGGAAGGTAAATTATAAACCAGTAAGTTTGTTAGTCACTGCTATTAATCTGTGCAGGTAAAGGAGAAACACCAAGCTGGGAAAATTATTCTATTATCAGTAACACCACTTTGGTATTATGGACTGTTTAACTTTCTTAAATGGTGAAATCAGAGTATGCTATTTAAAGGGAACAATGCTAATAATCCTTTTGTTCTCAACCAAGGCAGTATGACAGGTTGTTGGTCAAGCTAGATGTATACCATTTCACTCAAGCTTTCCAATGTGGAATTTTATTTCAAGTGACATCCAGTATTCCTGCTTTGGACAAAGACTTGTTTTTTTCAGTGCTGTGAAATAGCTCTTGGAGTCACAGCTCCGATTGCTGGGTTCCCTGCACTGTGCTGTGCATCACTGCCTTTTCATTAAGGAGATCTGTCTCTGGTAGAACACTGCTACTCTTACAGTGGATTATTTTACTGTTAGACTTTATCTATCCACCTCCTGCTTCCTCTGTATGTTTCACTTGTGTAAATGCTGAATCACCTCTCATTTCTGATCATGCAACCATCTCCCAAACAAGAACGCAGTACTGAGAGGTTTAAAGCGATGGCACAGAGCACAGAGATTTTCAGCAGCTTATCAACGACTGTGTGAATCGTGGCACGATGAAAGATGCTCACAACCTCTAGAGACATTGCCAAGAAATATTTCCGTTTAATTTCAATGTTAATTTGAATCTGGTTTGAGTTTGTTAAAGTTTTTGTGTTGTTTGCATTTTATGATGTGAAGCGCAGCAAAAGGAACTTGTACTTAAACCTACGTGGATCTTAATCCAGGCTTTTTTACACTTCCTATTACCATGTTGTCATTATTAAATGTAACCACCACCATAACTGGTTGTAACTGCTAGAAAGCTTCCTCCCTCAGACTTCTGCTTTACAGCTATTTTCATTTTCTCTTCTCTGTGGTTGAAGCTGAATGACTTCACACGAGTGGTAACAAGATGCTGTTACGTTGCTAACTGAAAAAAAAATCTCATTTTATGCCAATAAGTATGCATGATACTCTAGGGAAACCACGCTGCATGTCACAGCAGGTCGGCATCACAGGAAACAATTCATTTCGTAAGCATCATTTGAGCACTATCAGTATTTTAAACCTGAGATGCATCAGTTACGTGTTCTGTAAAGCTATGAAAAAAAATCTGATTTTGAGTACAACACATCCTTAGCAAATAGCAGTTCATACTTGTCATTCTAAGCATAAATTGTTTTTGTGTTCCTGCTTTGCTTTTCATACCGAACAAACCCTGTCAACCGCACAAATCCATAATTTTACCTTCCCTTATCTCTCTCTTTTTTTCCCTCTTCAGAGCAGCAATCCTTTTTATTTGAATTGCCAGCTGTATGGAAAATCTGATTACTGCCTGGTGCTGCTGAATAGCTGCTTAGCCAAGGTGGGCAGGAGCGAAGAGCTGGCTCTCCTAAAGCCTCCCTTCCTGGAGATGCCTTTCAACAAACGGTCCTTTCGCAATGGTGTGGGATCAGGAATTAAAAAAACTTCCTTTCGAAGAGCAAAGTCATAAACAAATGTTCCAAACCGTACTCCCGGTTTTAGCATCCCATGCCTAACTTTGTGCTTAAAATCACCTTAATGCTTTTCTCTGATAAAACCGTCAGAGACAAATGTACCCGTGTCTTCATCTTGTAAACAGATGTTTATTTCAAAGAGCACAAGCCAAGTGGAGCAGATGGAAGCGCTCAGAACGGGCTTTGTTTTTGGAGTTACAGTATCATAAAGTTTTGTATGGAAATGAATGTTTTCATTTGGTTAATTCCCCTTCTTTGTGAAGCTGCAGATTCAATCAGCTGGCTCCTGATTAGCACAAAGGCAGCCGTCCTGTCCCAACCCCTCTCGTTGCTGCCAGCTGCTGTGGCAGCGTTGGCACAGATCTACAGGGTGTTTAATTTCTCATTTCTGAAAGGTGTGAAGGGCTGAAACAGAGTCTGGTCCTGTTTGCAGCTTCTGCTTTCTTTGTAATGTTGTTACTTAACGTAACTGTATTGGGAAATAATGTCTTTGGATGTGTGATCTCATTTCCAAAGGAGTCCTGGGAAGTCATGCTGAGGCAGGGTACCAGCAGCTCCCACTGCCTCAACCATCTGACTTATAGAGGGATCACACTCCTGATGAATTGTGTTTCTGCCCATAGCTGCAGGTGTGGCACAATAACTAGCAATGCTCTTCTTCATTCTCTCTAAAGAATTTCATAAGATTCGTTTGGTCTGAAAATATGTAAGCATTGTGTGTAGGAATGGTTATCTGCTGTGTGAGGTTTCTCTTGTGGCTGTCTACTGCAAATGCAATGTTCCAGGCTGTAACCTTGCTTTGAAAATGTTGAAAATTATCTGTGCAGTGCATTTTGAACTGAAATTTAAAATAATAATAAATAAGTATGTGGACCCTTTCTAATATTTCCTTATTAAATATCAGCTTGCTGTTCCACCACAATAAGGCTGGGTGGCACATCAGCCGCTGCCAGCAGCTCCTCTCCTGCATTTTTGCACCATGAGCCTTTGGAGCAAAGAGACCTGAGCATGGAGCAGGGCAAGTGTTGCTCAATCGTATAATCAGAGAATCACAGAATGTCTGGGTTGGAAGGGATCTTCAAATTCACTGAGCCCCACACCCTGCTGTGGGCTGGGTGCCCCCCAGAGCTCAGGGTGCCCCCCAGGGCTGGGTGCCCCCCAGGGCCCATCCATCCATGGCCATGGACACATCCAGGGATGGCACCCACGGCTCTGGGCAGCAGTGCCAGCGCCTCATTGCCCTTTGAGTAAAGGAATTCCTCCTCAATCTGACCTAAATCTCCCCTCTCCTAGTTTAAAACCACTCCTTTCTGTCCATATCTGTAGTGAAATAGTGGAGCATCACACGTTTACAACCTGCTTAAGCACTTTGACTCCTTTTGCCCTCTCCCATGCTGGCTGCTGTGATTTCAGAGGCTGCAAATGCCCTGCTGGTGTGAACTCCTGACTCCAAGCTCTCACAGCCTGGGAAGCAGTGTGGCAATGCCTTTGGCAGCGTGAACGTGAAGGCGAGGTGGGTATCCTAGCCTATGACAAATAGGTGCCAAGAGGAGAGGTGCTTCCCCGCCCAGCATTACTTCAGGGCCTTTTAATTAAGGAAAATAACTTACTGAGGTGGAATTATTCCCTTGTGCAGATGTTAGGAGCATGCTCTATATCTGTGCATGCCTGCATTCAGCAGCACGGTCCTGCTGCAGTGCAGACACCAGGGGCTCTGGCCCTGCAGCTCCCAACACCACCTGGCTTCTTTTTCTGGGGTAAAGAAAATAATAATAAAAAATTCCAGATTTAGCTTTCTGTTGGGCTTTCACATCCATTATAGTAAACTTTGTTTCTACAGAACGAAGCATGTTCCTGCCTGGAAATGTGTGATGAACTTGGTTGTCTGTGATCCTCCACAGCCATACATGCAGCTCTGAAAATCAACACACTTTTCACTTTGTATGCAGGTCTGCAACCAACCTCTGTAGCATTTGGTGATTGCCTTTGAGCAGAGGATGCTCAAAAATGTGGATTCTCCTGCTGTCCTGTAGCAGCAGTTCTACTCTCAGTGGTTTACTCTCACCTCACCCAGCACTGGTGCTGCCTTCAGCACGAAATGCTAAACTCCCGTCTGAACTTTAAAGGTGGTTTTATGTTGTAAGAAACAAAAGAGACCTCAGTGATCTCTGTCATTACTCTGAAAAGGCATTTTGTTGACATTTTTTTTAACTTTTTTTCTTTGCTAAACTAAGAGAAAGCACAGAGCAGACCAGAGGGCAGGCAGAATGATGCTATGTTTAGGACTGAGTACCAGGCTGAGGAGCTGGAATGCTTCACTCCATCACAGGCATTGATAGCTGGGACCTCAGGTGAGCCGCTTCATTTCTCTTCCAGTTCTCCAGCTGAAACATAGCACTGCTAACTAGTCAGAGGGAGTTTTGCCCTGCTTTGTTCTAATGTTTGGAGGGTTTGGACATGAGTGTCCGCTAATGGGAGGCTTGAACAATTAGATCACCTGGTTTAATAACATCTGAGTTCTTTGCAGCATCCTGGTTGTGCCCATTGTGCTCTAATTGCAAAGCTGCTCTGCGCAATGTTCGTATTTTCAGTGTGCATCCTGGAAGTGGGGAGAAGAGAGGCATGGGCACCTCGAGGGCTGGCACAGGGCTGCTCTGTACCCAGCCTGGGTCTTGCTAATGAACTAAGCTGATTTCACAACGCTCTTGTGTGGAGCAGCAGGGATAGCCATGGGTCAGACAGACAGACAGACAGACAGCCGTGCACGTTGGCCACTGCTCTGCCTCCTACCAGTGATCTGTGCCTCTGAACAAGGTGGCCAATGTTCTCCACTGGGTGAAAATGAACGGAGTAGATCCAATAAAATCTGAAGGTGTAAAATCTATCTGAAGACCAAAGGAGAAATTAACATTTATTCTTCTTCACAGATTATTGGCAAGAAAGGCATTTAGATTACCTGATGTAATAGCATCTAATTTCCTTGTGAGATTGAAAATTAGATGTTGTAATGACATACCAATACTTGGCTTTCTGATTACCAAGCGTACATTAAAGTACATATATCCCATTTAGATTTCCTAATTTGCTATTATTTGCCTGTAGATGATAATTTACTGCCTTAAAATACTGGAAAGAAGAACTGTCTTGATGCTTTAGGCCTGGATATAGTTTTGACCTTAACAGAGAACAAGACGGATATGAGAGAGTATATTAGATGTTGTTATTACTGTAATAAAATGCAGATAAAAATCACAGCGCAGAAAGACTGTAAGACAACTATTAAAAATTTGTCATATAAAGAAAATAAAAACTTAACTTATCAGATATTCTGACACTTTAAAGATTTGTCATGAAAAAATACTTCTAACAGCAAAGCGTTTATGCAATATGTCATTGATGAGCTGTCTGCTTAAGTGCTTAAGGAGTTTGGAAAAAGATGAAAAAAAAATGTCAAAGATGGGCTTTTTCATTAGTTTGACAGATGATCTCACTATATTTAAATTTATATTTAGGAGTAAAACAGTACGTTTTTAACAGGACGAGGGGCTCTTTGTTCTGTCCTGACCTGCTGGTTGGTGATCCAAGTCAAACCAAAGCTTGTTGACTGAAGAAATGGCAGAGCTATGCATCAGGCTATTCACTTTGCTGTTTGGCTTCATAAGATGCTCAGAGTCAGGGGTGGTGATTGGAAGACTTTTTTTTTTTTTTTTTTTTTTTTTTTCCCCTAATGCCCTACTGGATTTGAAGTCATTGAGTTGATTAAGCTTAAAATTAAACATATCTTAAAAGCTTGATCGACTGAGACCTAGCTTCTGAACGTCTTCAGCATGAACCTTCCAGAGGACATAAAAGGGCTCGATAAGATAAGAAATGAGCTATCGAGTGCTGCTCTCGAGACATCATCCTCAACTCCTTGAAGTCAACAGAAAGCTACTGAGAGTCTTCAGCGGGCTTTGGATCAGACGTTCGGCGTATTAACGGTAAGAGTATTTGCGTTCACCCGGTGAGTCTCTATGGCAACCCTGGAGCACCTCACAGGAGCTGTGTGCTCTAATAGAGTTTTCTTCTCGTTGATTTTGGTGGCTCGTGCTTCCTGCCTGCCTTAGCCCACCGTATCTCAATCTGGGGACCACGGCATTGCCAGCATTTCAAAACCACGGCCAAACGCTGGGCACTGTGCCTGGCTCCTTATTTCATTAGCACCCAGCACACCTTAATTAGCAGCGTGGCACTCGTGGGGAGCCAAAGTATAGAAGAACATGTGTGCAAATTTATTTATAAACACAGAGGTGTAAATAAAAGAGTGAACGCTGCTATTGCAGTGATTTCCATCCTCTCCTTTTCCTTTTAGCAAGTGGGTGATGGTTGTGTGTGTGTGTTTTGGAGTTTCATTTGTTTTCAAGTTATATCACAAAGTAAATGAAAGGGAAAATGGAACTCAAATACGTATATTTTGTAATTATGCAGACTATAAATGAGAATTTCGGAGAAAAATGATCCCATTTTAGTACTATTTATTCCCCCTTGCTGATGACTTCATTGATAATCCTCTGCAGTGCCGTTTCGGAATATGTTTGCAGCGAATGAAAGCCTGGAGCAGTGAAACCTTTCGGTGTGAACCTGCTGTGATGGGGCTCTTTGCCTGCACCAGGGCTTCACGCTCACCACAACAGCAGCGTTTGAGGCCTTTCCCAGCACTGTGTGCTTCTTTGCGAGCATCCATCAGTGCACTGGGCATGCCGAGCAGAGCCCAGCTGGCTGCGGTGGGAGAAGCACTCAATTCACGTTTAGACGTTTACTCTCTGGCCATAAATTTAGCTGTCTTAATTTTGAACTGGGTCCTGGTGTTTCTGCTAATGATTTTCTTGAAGCCCTTCTTAAATGACTTCAAGACAATAATAATGGTATTTATGGTAAGAGTCCCCAGTTTGCAGAAATGTGTTAAGGATATCAGATGCTCTCAGTTTGAAGTCACGAGGGCTTTTGCTACACTTCTGCATGTTTTGGATAAGAGAATCTGCTCTGTAAAAGGCTTCTCAGCCAGACTTG